TTCATAAGACTATTATGAAACATTTATTATTATGACACAACGCTTGAGACTTAATGATCGCTTAGGAACCCTGTCATTAAGTGTCATTCGCTCAGTTATCTCATTTTTAAGTGCAATTGTGACATTGTTTGAGATGTTTTTGTCATGACAACTTGACATTATCAAGACAACAGAAGTTGTCATACATCTGTCAAAGGTTTCAGGACCTCTACAGTGGTAAATAAATGAATGTATCATTAAATATTAATGACACATAACATTTTTGACAGAGTATTGACACTTTAGCTAAGAAATGACAAATTAATGACAAATTATTTTTGTTCTATTGAAAAAAAAGCTCATAATAATTATGACAGTTATAATGGCCTCATGACAATCATGTTTATGACAAAATGACAGTTATCATAAGCATGCATAAAATCTCATTCATATACATACAATGCGTCACGTCATAGTTATGATGGTGTCATGACAATCTTATGAACAATGCTCTAAATAAGGTGTTACCCACACAACAAAAACCTTGAAGCAGATGAGCTACAGCAGCAGAAGAAGAAAACAGGAAACTGAGGCTGCACTTCACAGAGACTCACCACAATTACAATATAAGATTGTCTAGAGATTTCCTGGTGGCTGTTTCATAAAAGTCGTTTAGAAAAGCGGGGATTAAAGTCAAAAACCTGACTTCAATGAGCCGAACTATACGTCCAAGCTTAAATTCGTCCCATAACAGCAAGTTAAAGATTATTCCACTCAGGGTTTGTAGCTTTAAAGTAAATTTTTTTAGGAAATGTAGCCTACTTCTTCATTTCAGTCAGTGCTTGCTTAATATTATTTTCTTTATTCAATTTTTGTATAAATAAATGTATATTGCTAAGTACATCCCTCACAAATCTCTCATTTAAATTAATATTTTCTACAGGATGCTTTACAATAATAAATTAGTGAATATACATTAGATTATTCAGTACCGAAGCAAAATTTGGAACTAATCTAACAAAAAAAAATAAACCAAAGAACACAGTCCAAAAATTAGTATATCCAAATTAATATGTTGGGGGAAAATATTGAATAAAAAAACAGGGGGGAAAAAACAACAACAACAGAAACATAAAAAAAGATGTTTGGTATATATATATTTACTATTAAGTGACTATAAAGTTTTAATCATTATTAAATGGTTAAGTGAATTAAAATGGCATCAAATTACGACAGGCAAATAGTAACATTACTTTGACTAAGGATGAACTTAAGACTCAGCCTGAGTGTTAAACTGCCCCAGGCAGGCTAGTTTCCCAGCAAAAGTTACCAGAGTAACTGAGTTTGAACTATCGTAAATTTGATTTATGAAACAGAATCCGCCATTAATAAACCTGACTTAACAAAATAAGCCAGACATTTTCTCTAAACTTGGTTTATGGAACAGGCCCATGGTCTGATGAGTCTTAACTTCTGCTGCAACATACAGATGGTAGGATCAGAATTGAACGCAAGCTATATAAAGGATGGATCAGTTCTGATTTGAATCAACAATGTAAGCTGCTGGTGGTGTAATGTTCTGAGGGAGGGATATTTTCTTGGCACACTTTGGATCTTTTAGTACAAACTAAGCATTATTCAAATGCTACAGCCAACCTGAGTATTATTCTGACCATGTCAATCCCATTACAGTCTACTCATCCTGTGATGGCTACTTTCAGAGATATAATGCACATACAGTGCATTCAGAAAATATTTATAGCGCTTCACTTTTTCCACATTTTTATGTTACAGCCTTATTCCAAAATGGATTAAATTCATTTATTTCCTCAAAATTCTACACACAATAGCCCATCATGACAATGTGAAAAGATTTTTTTATATTGTTGCAAATTTATAAACAAATAAAAAAATAAATAAAAAATGGAAAAACACATGACCATCAGTATTCACAGCCTTTGCTCAATACTTTGTTGATGCACCTTTAGCATCAATTACAGCCACAAGTCTTTTGAATATGATGCCACAAGCTTGGCACACCTGTCTTTGGGAATTTTTGGCCATTCCTCTTTGCAGAACCTCTCAAGCTCTATCAGGTGTATGGGAAGCAACGGTGTACAGCCATTTTCACATCTCTCTAGAGATGTTCAATAAGATTTGGGTCTGGGCTCTGGCTGGGCCACTCAAGGACATACACCGAGTTGTTGTGAAGCCACTCCATTGATATTTTGGCGGTGTGCTTTGGGTCATTGACCTGCTGGAAGATGAACCGTCACCCCAGTCTGAGGTCAAGAGCACTCTAAAGCAGGTTTTCATTCTGGATGTCTCTACATTGCTGCATTCTTCTTTCCCTCTATCCGGACTAGTCTTCCAATTCCTGCTGCTGAAAAACATCACCACAGCATGATGCTGTCACCACCATGCTTCACTGTAGGGATGCTATTAGCCTGGTGATGAGCGGTACGTGGTTTTCTCCAAACTTAACATCAGGCATTCACTCCAAAGAATCATCAGACCAGAGAACTTTATTTCAGATGACTTTTGTCAAATTCAAGTCGGGCTGATTAGTGACCTTTACTGGCACAATCTACATTGTAAAAGTGCTGTAGAAATAAAGATGAATTGAATTGAATACTAAGGAGTGGCTTCCGTCTGGCCACTCTTCCATACAGGCCTGATTGGTGGATTGCTGCACAGATGGTTGTCCTTTTGTAAGGTTCTACTCCCTCCACAGAAGAACGCTGAAGCTCAGAGTAACCATCGGGTTATTGATCACCTCCCTGACTAAGGCCCTTCTCTCCTGATCACTTAGCCTAAATGGCCAGCTAGCTCTAGGAAAAGTCCTGGAGTTTCCAACCATCTTCCACTTACGCATGATGGAGGCCACTGTGCCAATTGGAACTGACAGAGCAGCAGAAAATTTTCTGTACCCTTCCCTAGCTATGTGCCTTGAGACAATCCTGTCTCAGAGATCTACAGACAATTAGACAATTCCTTTGTCTTCATGCTTGGTTTGTGCTTTGACATGCACTGTCAACCCTGGGACTTTATATAGACAGGTGTATGCCTTTTCAAATCATGTCCAATCAACTGAATTTACCTCAGGTGAACTCCAATAAAGCTGCTGAAACATCTCAAGAATGATCAGAGGAAACAGAATGTACCCGAGCTCAATTTAGAGCTTCACAGCAAAGGCTGTAAATACTGATGTACATGTGATTTTTCAGGTTTTTTATTTTTAATAAATTTGTAAATATTTCAAAAAGTCTTTTCACGTCGACATTATGGGGTATTGTGTGTAGAATTTTGAGCAAATAAATTAATTTAATCCATTTTGGAATAAGGGTGTAACATAAAATAAGTGTAAAAAGTGAAGTGCTAAGAATACTTTCCCAATGCATTGTAAATGATGAAATAAATGTCCAAATTATCGCAAACTGGTTCTTGAACAAAACAATAACTCCAGCATTCTCAAATGGCCTTCAACAGTCACCAGACCTCAATATAAAGTCACTTTTTTTACTGCATGGTATATCTAAATTTGGAACAATTTATTTTGTGTTTTTTGCATTATGTACCTAGTACTTCTTTGTACCACCAATGGTGAGCATGATGAATGCTTACCGCTGATTACTGATTGGCCTGCTGTATTGTTGGCTCACATGACTAAACAGTTTTTTATATCACTGCAAGAAAAAAAAAGTCACCTTAAATGGCACCATCAGTGTCAGCACAAGAGGTCCATGAGTTTCTTTCACTGGTAGCAGATGGGATGACCTGAAATGAAAAAGTGAGGTAGTAGAGGTGATGCAACTATAGAAACAATCGCAACCATTTTAAGCAGAGTCATAGCAGACTGTACCTTACTGTGCTGTGGAAAAGCAGCTTTATAAAGTACCTTTAGGATGTGCTAGAATGGGAGATTTGCAGCCGAGAAATCTGCAGTGACAGTCAATGCAATCAGATCAATGTGGAATAAAGTATTAAGGCAGTTGTAAAGACATTAAGGCAGTTGCCACAGCCATATCACCCTCCAGCCCAAGACCGATTACTCACTGAAGCTGGCAGAGCCTCAACCTGTGTGTGAGTCCTAATGCCCCAGTATAGTGAAGGAGACACTATATTGTCAGTGGGCGCCATCTTTCAGATGAGACATTAAATCATTTAAATGAGACTCCCTGTGGTAATTAAAAATCCCTTGGCACTTCTGGTAAAAAGTAAGGGTGTAAGCCCGGTGTCCTGGCTAAATTCCCAATAGGCCCTTACCAATCATGGTCTCGGTCTCTCCTCTCCACCAATAGCTGGTGTGTGGTGAGCGCACTGGCGTCTTCCTGTGGCTGCCGTCGCATCATCCAAGTGGATTCTGCACATTGGTGGTGGTGTGGAGAGAATGTGCTCATGATCCTAAAGTGCTTTGAGTGTATATTCATACACAATAAATGCACTATATAAATACACATTACATTACAAAAAGATGTTCAATTAGGGTGTACTTAATAAAGTGGCCAGCGTCGGCATGCTCTCATACATCTTGCACTTGGCCCTGCAATACACTCCATTAGACAGATGGAGAGCCGATACTGATGTATCACCATGGCGATGATTCTCACATTGCAATATCCTAGAGAACGCTCATTTAGAAATTACAGCAGGCAACTTCCTGCTCATTGAAGATCACAATGGCATCCGATGAGGAAGAAGAATCATGACATAAGGCTTTCTGTGGAAACACTGGAACAGAACTTTAATGCACAACTCAAACAGCTGCTGCTCAATGAGGCTGCCATGGAAACACTTTTTCACCCCCTCCCTCCCTTCTCCATCCCAGTTCCACTGACATAAACGCACAAGCAGCATTCTTGCAGAAATGCTCTCAAATCCCTTTTCTTCTCCAAAAACAAAAACAATGCAGAACCACCCCAACATAAAAGTTACAGGTTCAATGGAACTAAAACACCATGAAAACAAAAACACTGCAGTTATTTTTTTTCCTCAAATAACATAATTTCACTAATATCTTCTTTTTTTTTTTTAGTGTCATCACTGCGGTGTGACCCCAGAACGCATGACATCATATAAAGAGAAAAAGAGAACTTGGTTCAGAAATGATAAACCAAAAAGAGTCTAAGGATGAACAACTCAACACAAGTTTGACTCTGAGCCAGTGAGTTGTGCTGTGACATCACCACGTCTTCGCCCTCTTCTCCGATGGAGAATCATCCTCGTCTCCTGAGTCCGAACAAGTTCGTTTCCCAGCAACACTGGTGATCTCCCGCTCAGAGGGCTCCCCCTGGGTCCTGGAATCACCAGCGCTCTTACCGAGTTCTACCCCAGAGCATTCTGGGTGTATAGAGTCTCCACAGTTCTCATCAATATGTGGACGTCCGTTAACACCAGCCACTGTGGTCCGACTGCTGAGTGTCAGGTTTAAATCCTCCACAGTACTCAACTCTTCTCCGCTAGTTCTCCCTCGCTCCAGTTCCTCCCCAGACTCCGCCAGAAAGCCTGCTCGGGATTTCGCCCTCTCCAAAGGGCCGTCCCCAGCCCCTGAGAAGGAAGAAGTGATGCGGCGCCTACATCTGGACTGCGATTGCCTGTCAGATAAGTGCGACGGACTTGGCTTTTGTTTTCCACGATTTCTGAAAGGCCGATCTTCGTCACCTGAGGACGAAGAGGGGGACGACTGATCGTGGATGGAAATGTTGGGATAGTTGGAGGAGTCTGTGGCGCTGTGAAGTGTTTGGGCCGAGTCTCTTGGAGAAAAGCCAATATGGCGGCGCCATCTGGCTGCATTGCGCTGTCGCATCCTGCTCCTGCGCAGCTCCTCGTCAACTCCATCAGTGCTGGAGGAGGAGCTAGAAGATGAGCTGGGGGAGGAGCTTGAACTGGAGGCTACGCCCGCTGAGGAGGCGTGGCTAGAAAGACTTGAGTTTTCACGTGGGCTAGGGGATCTGGGACGGGGCATCGGGTCTAACCAAAACCCACTGGAATCTGAATCCTCGTTCACAAGATCAAGCAGAAACGCAGACGCACGTGGTCTGGCCCGGTTCCTCTGTGACCCACTTCTATCCTGATCCGTCCGTTCGCTCCCGGACACATCAGGTCCCGCTAGAGAAGATGAAGACGAGTGTTCGGAGTCGCTATGATGAGCGGCAGACACAGCAGCAGGAGATCGTGGTGTGGATCGTGTGGAGCGGGTCGACCGCCGGGCTCTGGCATGCAGCTGCAGAATCGCACCCTCGCTCAAATCGCTGTCAGAGTCCGAGCTCCAGCCCTCGATCTCACGCCGAACCAGTGAGTCAAAAAAGGCCATCATTCGAGGGTCTTCCTGCACTGACTGGCTGACATAATCGTGTGACAGGCCGGTCCCGCTGTTGAGTACCAGGCTTATGTATTCCTCATGAGTGTAGAGAGAGCGAGACTTGTCTTCCACCAGGCCTTCTAGATCTCCTAAACTGTCTGGCTGCTTATACGGACTCCAAACCTGCACACAGAGAAAGGCATAAAGGCTGAATTAAGCTGCTTTCACATGGCATTTATGTTGCAAGTTTACAAGAGACCTTAATACTAGAATTTATTGACAACATATACATATCGTAAAAGGAATTAAATTAACCTTTTAACTGCCCAACCAACAAAAAAGTTCTTGGATTGCATTTCTGAACTCCTAATGTCACTAGTTGACACACTCAATGCATTTTTTTTCAACACAATCCATACTTGTAAAATGTCAACCATTTGTAGAGATTTATAATTTGGTTTAAGTTTTTTTTTCTTTTACAATAAAACCAAAATCAAGTGTAGTAGTACACAGGATTACAAAAATGCTATGGAAGTCAACGGCTGTTTTTCCCAGCATTCTTCAGAATAACTTTCTTTGTGTTCAACAGAAGAAAGAAAGTCAAACAGGTTTAAACAGGCGAGTAAATGAATTTTTATTTGATCATTTCTTTAACTTGGTACTTAGAAGAAAATATTTTATTTTCCTTCATTTGAACTTTTCCTACCCTTATTGTAGTTTATTATTCTTCCATTATTGTATAAACCTGCTTTCATTTCATTTAAATGTATCACTATATGTTCATTAATTTTCCTTCAGCTGAGTCTGATTTCTATTTTATCTATTTTAAATACATGCTTTTCTCATCATAGAATCCTGAAAATGTAAACATTAATAATAAGCAGAAAAGTTTGAGAACCATGTTTTCAGCATGATGTGAAGGATCATGTGACCGTAAAGACTAAATTTTGACATCACAGAAATACACGTAACATATTGAACTATATTTTTGATAGAATAAATGCAGCCTTGATCGGCACAATGGCTATGACACTATGGCTTGCAGCAAGAAATTCGCTGTTTCGAGTCCCGACTGGGTCAGGTGGCATTTCTCTGTGGAGTTTGCATGTTCAAAGATATGCGTATAGGTGAATTTAATAAGCTAAATTGGCCATAGTGTATTAGTGTGTGTGAATTAGGCATGGGACCATAACCGTTTTCAAGGAATACCAGGGTTTGGAAAAGTCAAGGTTTTAAAACCACCAAAATTTTCTGCTGTACCGTTCCTAAGGTATGTGTAAGTTTTTTTTGTTTTTGTTTTTTAGGACAACAGTATCTCCAGCATAAAATATATCCAAAGATGCTGTTTTAAATTGTAAAGAAATCTGTGCTTTTAAAACTAATGAAGACAGCAGAAGTCAATGATTCATTTTAATTATTCAGCCTGACATGTTTACTACTCCAAAATATTATAAAAGACTCTAAAATTAAAATATATTGTGTTCAAAGTGGAAAGAGTTGTAGTTTTTGACAAAACATTTAAAAAGAATACATTTTAAAGCAGTTACCACAATACTGTGAAACCGTGATATTTTTATCCAAGGTTATCATACTGTCAGAATCTTATACCGGCCCTGCCTAATGCGAGAGTGTATAGGTGATTCCTAGTACTGGGTTGTGGCTGAAAGGGTCTCCGCTGTTTAAAACATATTTAAAACATTTTGCTGTGGCAACCCCTGATAAATAAAAGGTCTAAGCCGAAGGAAAATGAACGGCAGCCCTGGTAAGACTAAGAGACTTAAAATGCTAAAAAACACAGTGAACATCCTGTCAGTGTGAAAGCACAACGTCAACCATCATTTTCAGTACTATGTGCTCATAAAAGAGCCCCAACACCCCAGACAATTACAGAATTATTACTGAATTGAACGTATAAATCACCGCAGCCACGTCAATGTCTGCGCAAACAGCAGATGTGTCCGTTTGCACGTTACAAAAAAAACATGCAGTGATGGTCTCTGACAAATTCGAGTTTGGTGAGTGAGAACAGGCCTTCAGTGCGCAAGTGTTACTCAACATTAACAGCCTGCCAAAAAACGATTTCACAAGAACCACCAGCAAAGGATAAACTACAGTCTTACTGTTACACTCATGACAAACACTGAAGAAACAAACATGACAGCTGGAAAAACCACAGCGACACCCATCACATCGCTAACCAGAAAGAAAACGCTTGTTAGTGAGTTATATATTTGTCAGGAAGCTGCAGTTGTGAAGCTGTAACGGTTGCTTGCTTTACAGTGATGACAAGAAAGGACAGTGAATCTAACGGGTAAAATCATGCCTAGATTCTGTGCCTTCAGGCTTTTAGGTGCGGCCGAACAAGCGACAGCAGAAATTCATTTAAGACTAAACGGAGGACACGTACAAGTTTGGACATGACGATTTTCCCAACACATGCTGAATGTTTTGCTATGTGTGTGTGGCAGGTCTGCTCGTGTCTGACATGAATGGTTTACCCATTTCAACCATTAATTCCCCCTCATGCTGTTTCAGACCCATATGACTTTTTTTCTTGAAACAGAAAAGGAGTTGCGTGTTAAAATGAGCCTCCCTTCCAGACAAGGAAACCAAATAAGGATGGATGATGCTAATGCCGTTTTGTTAGAGATAAATATTGAAATTTGAGTTGCCTTCAGGGTAGCTTTCAATCCTAATTTGCATATTTTGCATATTGAAACTTTAGTCACAGCAAACATTTTGAGAGTAGGGATGTAGCGATTCACCATGAGCTGGTTGAAAATCAATTCAAATATGTGACTATTCAAATCGGTAAAAATGTTGAACGAATCACGATACATGTTTTGAACAGAGGGGGCGCCATGTTTAAAGGCTCAAACTTGCTTTACCTGCACATCAGCGGTGAGCAAGAGGTGTGGCGGCAAATTAAAATGACAGCAGTGAGGTGTGTGCCAACACTGCAAAAAGACGTTTACTTATGCCGAGTTCAAACTGCATGGTTTTAGCCCCGATTTTGAATCGCCGACAGGTTTTGAGAAATCACAGACAAATGCCTGAAATCACAGGCAAATCCGTGCTTGTTCAAGCAAGTAACAAATCACACATTGTGAACAATCAAAGACGCGATCTGAAAAAATGGCAAATGAGTTGCTGATACCCATGAGATATTTGGCGGGCTACATATAAGGACTAGAGCTGAAGATCTTTGCCCGAACCCGATGGGTTCAGGTGGGTTCGGGCTTAATTTCCATAATTTTAGACGTGATGTGATGAATTTCGATTAGCGCGGGAAAGTAATCAAATCGTTTGTTACAACATTAAATGATGAACAAACAATCCCACCCAAAACTTGCAAAATTAGCCAGAACAGTATGCATCCCAGCCAATAGCAGCAGCAGTTAAAGGGTGTTCAGTGCTACTCAGTGAGTGCAGGACTGTGCTAAAGCCATATACAGTGGATTCAATAATGTTCCTCTAGAAAAACATGTAGCCTAATCTTGGTGAGTAAAGGGTTTTCAAATTAGAATTAAACATTAAACATAAAATCATAATGTAGACAAAGTAAGCCTATATAGGCTAATGTTTGCACAATTCTTTTAATAATCAACTTCACTGTCACTTAATGCCAGATTTTGAAGAGAAGTGGGGAAACAAATCCGGCAAAACCTTTGTCTTAATTTTATTATTGCCAAATACCCATCATAATTTATCATTTATTTTAATTTAATTTGTTAAGAAAGACTTAATTGGTATTTTTATTGGTGTGTTGGCCAATTTAAAGATACCAAAAGGTACGTAGGCTTTTTTTAGAGTGCTGAGATGTTACAATGTTACAGAGGACTTATTTTATTTCTTTGTTCCATCTTCTAAGTGGCCTATAGCCTAAGTTTGTTATAACTAAATGACACACATATTAACACATAAAAAACAAATGAATGACTCATTCATGAAATGAGGCAAAAGAGCTGTATGCATGTGCACATTTGAATAATGTCGATTAAAAATGGGTTCGGGCTTTATAAAGCTGTCAATCAAAATGTACTTGTCGGACTCGGGACGAATTCTGTCGGGCTCGGACCCTATCAGGCCTTACTTTTATGGCCCGCTTACAGCTCTAATCTGGACCTGTCAGCAATTCAAATCATGCCATGTCTAATGTGTTCTGATTAAAAATAACATCAGTGAGCACCTACAGCCAATGAGAGAGCAGCATCCTCTAGTATGGGTATCTGCAGGCCAGCGGGAGGATGAGGGAGAAGTTATAAGCACTCATTTTCAGTTTATGTAGACCCAAGAAATGGAGGAAAAACTAGCAGAAATTTGGAAAGAGCACCCATGTCAGTTTGACACGTCATCTGAGCAATATTACGACCTGATCAAAAAAAGAAAAAAGTTGAAGAAAAATTGCTGATTCCCTTCAAAACCCAGGTGAGCAAAAAAAGTAAATTTTTTACCCCACTAAAGGCCTCTTTCTCATTATGTAGTTGATAACAAAATATAAAATGTTAGTCTCGCCTGTGTTTGGCTGTTAGTTTAGGCAAAGTTGTCAGAGATTTTCCTATTTTAAAGTGCAGTCTGAAACCCCTTGTCACCAATTCATCTTGCAAATTAAACACAACAGCGTCCAAATGTTATTCCAGATAGTCAAGCAGTGTAAGAACAGTCATGACATTACTACTTTGAAAATGATGCAGTCTGAACTCGGCATTACACTAACAGAACAACAAATATGATGCAGCACAGTGAAAAACTATTGTCACAGATGTCTATATGCATAAAGCTATTAATAGGCCAAACCACACTGATCGGAGGATTGGCAGCTGCGCTTGCTCTGACGAGTGCTACAGAGTTCACATGGTCCATCAGTGTTTCATAGCGAAAGTGTGAAGATGTTTTTCAGACTGAAAGAGAAAGTTGTGCTGTTAGAGAACCAGGTATTAGATTGTTCCTTTTTTACCCTCTCTGTTTCAATTAAGTTAATGCATCTTTTTTTAATAATTTGCTTATTGTCATATATTATAATCAGTATTTTATACCAGTGGCCAGTCCACTGAAACAAAGGTCTATTGAGCACCTCTGTACACGCTGCTCTCTGGTTTAAGAAAGGCTTTCCTCTCCACATCAGCCATCTCAGTCCCCAGTAAAAAGAGGGTTTTTTTCAGCAGGGAACATTGTAAATGTGCAAAGACCTCAGATGGAGAGCATGAGACTGATTCCAGTGGTGCTCCAGGGACAAACGAGTCTTCGCTGTGGCCCAGCTTACAGCCTCCACCGCTGACACTACAGCTCTGCACAAGACTTTTGGCCAGCGGAGAAATTAAAATGGTCGTGCCGAACTGAGTCTGGTTTCTCTCAAGGTTTTTTTTCTGCACTCTCGTATCGGTGAAGTTTTTTTTCCCTCTCTGCTGTCGCCACTGGCTTGCACGGTTCAGGATCTGTAGAGCTACGCATCAATGAATTTGCTCTTCAGTGTTTGGGGACTCAGTAATGATTTTAAACCACACTTAACTGAGCTAAACTATACTGAACTTAAACACTAAAATCTGAACTACCCTGATCCAGTTACTATGACCATTTATGTGAAGCTGCTTTGACACAATAGACATTGTAAAAGGGCTAAACAAATAAAGCTGAATTGAATTTGGCATTTGTTTTAAATTTATAATGTAGCTGCAGAGTCAAAGTTTTAGTTTGTTTATATTAAAGAGTCCTCATTAGTTTGTAGTATTCACTTTTTATTTGGATTTTGTTTTAAAATTCCAATTTAGTTGTACAGCATTTGAGAAAAAAATTAAAGGGCTCTTGTTCACTTTGTCTCAAACAATTTTGTAAAAAAAATCATTACAAAATCATGATATTAGTATTGTGTATTTACACTATCATTTTTAATGGCATCAATAATGTTATGAATTTAATGTTTTAAATAGAAATATTTAGCACTGTCACCTCACAGCAAGAAGTTCGCTGGTTCGAGCCCCGACTGGGTCAGTTGGCATTTCTGTGTGGAGTTTACATGTTCTCCCAGTGTTCGCGTTGGTTTTCTCCGGGTGCTCTGGTTTCCCCCACAGTCCAAAGACAATTGCTCTAGTTGAACCAAGTAAGCTAAATTGTCTATAGTGTATGTGCATATGTCCTGTCCTCCAGGTTGGGGGTTGAGCGTTGAGCTACCAATCCATAAAAACTAGATGTCACAAAACATTAATATAGTGTGGCTGAATATCAATTTTCATCTAAATGGCCCTGGGAGTAAGTAAATAGAAACATTTAAATATAAAATGATGATGCTTCTAAAACAGTAATGTAGGCAAAAGAAAGAAATGTGTTTTTGTGTTTGTTGTTCAAATTCAAACTGATTCATTCATTAAAAAAACTGAAATAAGTCAATTCTGCTATGGATTTGTATGAAACTATTTACTCTGTTAAAATAGAGCAAATCCTGCTGCAGTTAAATTGTGTTTAAATTTGGTTCAAAGATGTACTTCACCCAAAAATGAAAAATGACATCATTTACTCTCATTCATGTGGTTTCACCTTGTTGAACACAAAAGATATTTTGAAGAATGCTGGTTGCTGAGGGACTGATCGACTTCCATAGTAAAAAAAATATATATACAATAATATGGAAGTCAATAGGAGCCAACTGCCAGCATTTTTCAATATATCTTCTTTTGTGTTCAACAGAAAAAAGAAACTTAGATATTTTTTAAACAAGTGAAGGGAGAGTAAATGATGGCAGAGATTTCATTTTTGCGTGAACTGTCCTTTTTAAACTTTTGGTTCAGGTCTGCCTCAGAATTTTTTTCTGAAAAGAAAAAAGCAGAGGGAGGAGTGGGCGTGGCCAGCAGAGGAAAAAGAGGGAGGTGAACAAAATGTGACAAACCGTGAGGAGACGCTATATTTTATAGTTTACAAAGTTCAAGTGCAAAGAAATAAACATTAATTTAATGCCCTGCTACATATACGATTCATAATTTCATACACAAGACCACAATTTGTTATATCTTTATAAAGACAACAATGTAAACACTATAAATGGAGGACTCAATCCCTGGGTGTGAATGCAGGCACAGTGGATAGCAGTGCAGTAGGTCTATTCCAACCCTGCCAGTAATCTGGAGGACTTTAAACATAGGCAAACACAGCAGCGTGGATATAAGTGATGTGTCTGAATGGTAACGAACTCAACTGATAAAAGAAAAAGTCCACCATTCTTCAATTCCCATACAGCTCTCTCGACAAAAATACTTGATGCAAACAAACAGGTTTGCTTTTTGCGCTGTCACCCATTTTGATTCCGCCCCAAAAACGATTTTAAACCCGAAAGATGAAATTAGCTGACAAAAGCTCTAAATTATCCAGTTTTCCCCACAATTAAAGCTGACAGGCTCTAACGTTGTCTTAACTGATGCTCAACACACACAAATCTGTTAAATTTATGAGAAAAAGTACTCCAGGGTGTCTTGAACCCAAGTTATGTAACACAAGCATGTATTTATTGTCATTTATGAAAACGCCTCAGGCTCTTGTGATATTGCTCAATTAAATAAAATGCTTCTGATACAAGTGTTTAAAAAAAAATTACAATTATATCTTGAATTTTGTGTTCATTTGTATTCACTTTAGTGACGTTTAACACAATCCCCTCTTAATTTCCAAATGACCACAAAAACAACATTAAATCAAATTATAAAGGGCTGCTTTCACTCAAAGCAGGAGCTTTTACATCTAATCACAGTAATGATGCTAGCAAGTAAATCATACAGTTCACTAGCAATTTAATCCTGAAGTCTTAAAATAAAATCCAGAGTCTGAGACAACACAAAAATTAAACTAAAACAAGACCAAGGCCTATCTTAAGTCTAACATAAACTTGAGATCTGATCCCCACAGAAAGCTAATATATCACCTCAGATTTAATACACAATATATATGAAGACATTTACTGTAAATGCACAACAGTTCATTTTACAGTATGCAAAAGACTATGTTTGTTTCTGTTATGCTTAAATGAAAGAATTAGCTGACCTTGATGACCTTCTCCACCCCGGAGGAGCAGATCATGTACGTGTGAGGGTTAAAGCGGACCTGATTCACAATGGACCGATGACCTTTTAAAACCATAAAGGCCCCATTCACCACTCGACCCGCGCCTCCTGCCGACACACAGACAGAATGCGTCCATAAATAATAACAATATATCAGACACAGTAAACATTTGCATGAGTGTGTGCATGTGTGTGTGTGCGTGCGCGTGTTTACCTGCTTCAGGGTCAGTGGGAATTCTCCACATGTAAAGGTTAAAATCATCAGAGCCAGACAAGATGTACTGGAAAAACACAGAAATAAAATTGGTACATGCATTAAGCCAGTGTTTCTCAACCATGTTCCTGGAGGACCCCTGTCTTTGCACATTTTCCATTGCTACGTCCCAATTCGCATACTTACTTTACAAAAAAGTACATACTTTTAGGGTGTAGTGTAAGTATATACTTTTGAGTGTGTGACAGAAGATTATGCAAGCTTTTGGACACTACTTCCTCGTTAACAGATCGTTATGTTGCTTAGTTATATCCCCTGTCAATCACATCATCCACATTTCTTTTATATGTCATTACTTACCTTTTTGTAGAAGCAGCAGAAGGATTATCTGCCATTCAGAGTCTTTCATGCAGAGAAATCTCCTCAGGTCTTTAAGTAATCTTGATATGATGAAATATAACACTTATATTTTCCAGTCGGCTAGATATTAATTAATAGTCAAACAACTTTACCAAAGCCTCTCTACTTGACAGTTGGTCTCGCGGGTCGACCATGTTTGTAGTTCATTTACACGAGTTTGTAGTTCTAATCAAATTCACATTCAAACGCGTAATGTATTGCGGGCAATGCTGGCGGTTAGAGTATAGACGGTTCTACACCACCGGAAATAGTAACCTTTGGCATGCTCTTTTCAACACTACGGTTTGGGAGATACTAATTCTATCTTCGAATACTATTTAGGATGGATAGTATGCAAACTGGGACGCAGCACATGTCTCCTTGAGACATGGGACGATAACCGTTTTCAAGGTATACCGTGGTTTGGGAAAGTCATGTTTTTTTTCTGCTATTCTATTCCTATGGTACATAGGTACATAGATTTTTTATTTATATTTTTGTATCTCCAGCAGAAAAGATATCCAAAGATTCGGTTTTAATTGTACACACAAAATCATAAGACGTTAATAGTAGGTTAGATGTAGGTTGTGTTGTCAGGTGACCAAAAATTCAATGTCTAGTCAACATCTAAGAACGTTATTTTGACGACAAATGACGATATTTGGTTGATTTTAGGTTGTGTTGTAAAGTGAATCCAAAGTCGAACCAACACCATATTGACGTCAAATACTGACATTCAGGTATGGCAACCAAAATCCAACGTATTTTATACATAGATGTCATAGTGGTAACATCCACACAACGTCAAGTTGGAACATCATTAGATGTGAATATTTGGTTTAGTTTAGGTTGGATGTTAGAGACTGATGTCGCTTGACTTTGACCCGATTTTTAAATAAAATAAAAATTGGGGTAAAGTTGGGCTACAACGTCAATCTGACAACATGTTGATGTACTATGCCTGCTGGGATGTTGTTTACCATTACAAAATATTTTAAATGTTTCTCGAAATAAAATATATTATGTTCAAATGGGAAAAAAAGTGTTGTTTCTTTTAACCCAGACATTTAAAAATATATATTTTAGAGCAGTAATCACAATACCATGAAACAGTGATATTTTTACCCAAGGTTATCATACCGTCAAAATCTTATACCGGCCCATGCCTACTCTCCTTAACCAAACATTCCTGATTCAGATCATCAGCTCATTAGCAGAGACTGAAAGACCTGTAATGGGTGTGACAGACAAATGAGACCTATAAAATATGAAGTTTTGGTGGTCCTCGAGGAACATGGTTGAGAAACACTGCACTAAGCAATTACATAAAATATGACATGATTTACACAAAGTAGTAATCATTATTATTTATTTATGTACAACACTCTCTGAACTATCATGATAGAAACAAACACATTACCATTCAAAAGCTTTGAGTAAGACAAAAAAAAAACATTGATTTGCAATCATGCATTAAAATAACCGAAAGTATATGCATTTGATATGTAATACAAAACGTAATTAATTCAATTATTGCCTTCAAAGATTTTTGCTTCTTGACTATATTAATGATTTCTACAGCAGAAAGTGTCTGAAAATGCAGCTTTGACTTAATAAATTCACTAATTTCTTCAGCTTAATCCCTGATATATCAGAGGTCACTACAGTGGAAGGAACTGCCTTTAAATTAATGACCGTTTAACATATATTTAAATAGAAAACTGTAATTGAACAATATTTGATTTAAAAAGTAAGATTATGTAAGATATCTCAAGAAAGCCATCAACACATTAAGTTAAATTCCTAAAAACAATTCTGAGTGAGTTACACACACACACACACACACACACACACACACACAGAGAGAGAGAGAGAGAGAGAGAGAGAGAGAGAGAGAGAGAGAGAGAGGGAGAGAGAGGAGAGAGAAGAGAAGAGAGAGAGAGAAAGAGAGAGAGAGAGAGAGAGAGAGAGAGACCCTTTTTAAGTTTAACCCACCCATTAAACTGTGGCTGAAAATATTTGACACCATTGTAAAGCCAGTCCTGCTGTATGGCTGTGAACTCTGGGGACCCACATTTCAATTAAGCTACTAATCTTGGGAAAAAACTCCAGTTGAAATCTTTCATCTGGAGTTTTGCAAAAACATCCTCGGAGTTCACAGAAGCACACCCAGCCTTGGTTGCAGAGCAGAACTAGGCAGGTTCCCTCTGCTCTCAGAAATCCAGAAGAGAGCAGGGAAGTTCTGGCTCCATCTGTCAGACTCCAGCCCAGAGAGCTACCATCAGCAAGCCCTCATATATAGAAATGCACATCCGGCCAGCGACCCCATGCACTGGGGAAAAACACCAACTAAATTCACAAACCCTGTCCCAACATATAAAGACTAAAGAAATAGAAAAGATTACCCAGGAGGATTATAAAGTCAATTGGCAAAATAAAGTACAACAAATAAAAAAGTTAGCGTGCTTCAACCAGATTAAACCTGGTTATGAACTGGCCCCATATCTGACCAACATTAAGAGCCCCGGTCAGAGCAAGCTGATGAGCCGGTACCGTCTGAGTGGACACAGTCTGAGTGTGGAGACGGGCCGACACAAGCGCAGCTGGAGGAGCCCAGAGCTCAGACTGTGTCCACACTGCTCTGCTGGAGTTGTGGAGGATGAGCTGCATTTCTTCACTCAATGCAGCAAATTTCAGAGCATCAGAGAAGCTTACTTCACACAAATGTCTCTGATTCTACCACTATTCCAGCACACCACAAATACGAAGAAACTCCATTATATTTTGGGAGAAAATGAAAAGTGTCTCCACCTAGCAGCACAGTACTTGTCCTCATGCCACTATATGAGAGAAAAAGGCTGAACCCCCTTATCCCTTATTAAAGCTCTCTGTCCTTACCATTTATTATTATATACTTTTGTTAATCTTTTTTTTATTAACTTGTTTATTGTGACAACATATATGTATAATATAACGATATGTATATATACGATATGAGAGAGAGAGAGATCCTGTCACGTGATAAAAGTGATTTAGGGAGGAGAATCCATCGTTCCGTTGAAGGAAGGCAGTCAGACAGAAAAAGAGAGAAGAAACAGCTGGACAAACAAAAAAAGTCCAAACATAGAATCTAACAGATGAGCATGCACGCACAAACACATACACTCTCAGACACACACACACTCAACAGCATCTGCAGAGCTTTAGATTCACCACTGATAAAACAAGCTTCTACAAGCAGCAGCCCAACATTCCCAAAAATCCAACATACCTGAACTGCACAAAGAATGCACACAAACGAGTTCACACATGCACACTCTTCTTCTGCACAATCATTGATGATCAGTCAAAAAAATCTTACATTACACATTAACTGACGTAAAAAAAGAGACTGGTTAAGTTAGACATTATTTAGTTATAAATTGTTTACTGAACTTTGAATAGATAGATAGATTGTCTCTTGATCACTAAGACTGCATTTCTTTGATAATGAAAAACAGTTTGTTTCAAGGTCTATGGGGCTGAGAGTAATTTTCACGTTATTCTCTCCTCTGGCTGTCGTCATCAGTCTCTCACTATTTTTTTCCTTTTTCTGAAAGTCTTGATAACACTATCGTGGTATTTGTCTTTAATTATTTCAGCAAATAGGATTGTAAAAAAAAATTGCTGTAATCTCAGATTCACTGTGCTCTAAGTTTACCCAACTATGGCGCCTTTCGCTACTGAGAAACCCAGAAATGTGAAAAGGGTCTATTACATCAGACTTTTAAAATTATAATAAGATAATATTTCTAAACATTTACTCAATTATTATCTTTATAAAAAACAATAAAAGCAGGACAGTGCAAAAAAAAACAGAGGGTGGATTCTTTAAAAAAAAGATATAAATATATAAAGTAAATATAATATAAAGTAAAAAAAAAAAACACTTTTTACTCAAAACAGATATTTCCTGTAATGTTATATACTTTAATACTGTCATTTTGAACAATTTCATGTGTTCTTGAAAATAAAAAATAATAAATGAATGAATACCCAGCTCATTGTATAGTTTGTTTGTAAAATGAAATGATTTCAGTGTTTTAATAATAATCAGTAATTGTTTTGGTCATAGTTATAGCACCTAAATTTTTCATACCCCACATATTCCTTTGATTATGTAGAATCAACCAAATATGTTTGTATGAAGATAGTAAACCTTATATTTGGACACTGTACCTTCCTAGTAGTCACCAATGCTACTTTCATATTAATCTATTTTGCACATTATTAAACTTTTTTAGTTATATATTTAGTTAGAAACTGTGTAAATAATTAGTTAGCATGTACAATTAACCAGGTTATTACCTCAAAAGGAACTCTTTTATGCCCTGATCATCATCATTTTGCAATAATAAATGGTTTCCTGCACCTTATAGCTACAGAACTAGCAATGTTCTACTTCAATTGGATGTACACTACTGTTTGAGCTTGGCAATATTTTATGATTATTTCTGAAAGGTCATTTAAACTAATTTTGTTTGATCATGAAAGTTATATTATTCTTTGTAATGTCATACATAGAAATGTTTAGTATTTTATTAAAAAGTAAATTTTTTATCCATTTAATGCATGACTGCAAATAAAAGTAGTCAGATTTTTTTTAATTACTCAAGCCTTTTGAATGGTAATACATTTTTTTGCTTTGGTATACACTCATCGGCCACTTGATTAGATACACCTGTTCAACAGCTCCTTAACGCAAATCAGCCAATCACATGGCAGCAACTCAACTCATTTATATCCATGTCATAAGACAAGAATCATCTCAGACTGGTTTCTTGAACATGACAATAAGTTCACTGTACTCAAACGCACCTTTGAGATGTGCAGCTGACAAATCTGCAGCATCTGTGTGATGCTATCGTGTCAATATGGACCAAAATCTCTGAGGAATATTTCCAATACCTTGTTAAATCTATGACATGAAGGATTAAGGCAGTTCTGAAGGCAAAAGTGGTCCAACCCGGTACTAGTAAGATGTACCTAATAAAGTGGCCGGTGAGTGTAGAGTAGTTCAGACAGTGTTGCACACACTCCTCTAACCTGATCTCGGTCGCCAGCGAAACAGCAGCTCTTCATAGTGCAGGAGTTGAAGTAGCCCTGGTTATCAAACTGGAAGCTGGGCAGACGAGAGTGGAGCTCATAGAGGACGGGTGGCAGACGTCTGCGCAGAGCCAGCAGCTGCGTCCCCGTGCTGTTAAAGCGAACACTCATGGCACTCTGAAGAGACAAACTGCCTCCGTACCGCAACAGAGAACTGCAGCACAGACACACAGATACACATGAGCACAAAGCAAAGCAGTTTCATACCAAAGAACATCAATAAGATTCAGTGATTTTCAGGTGATCCTGTTTACACTCAGCAGAGGACATTTTTACACAAGCTTTACTGTCCTCTGCTGGTCTCAGGCAGTATAGCAGATTTATTCTATAGCTTAAGCTTACAATAGAGAAGGCCTTGTTATTTCCATCACATTGCACATTTAGACTCAAAAATGATTCTGATTATGCAAAAAAGCCACATATGTTTTTATAATGATAATAAGCTTTACATTTGGACAATGTTCCTAGTAGTTGACTGTGCTACTTTCATGTTCATCCTAGGTTTTGGAGTCTTTTTCACACATGATTAAGAATTTAAAATGTATAATTTCTATATATATTTATTTACATATTTGGTTAGAAGCTTTGATGTCTAAATAACTAGGTTATTAGCTCAAAAGAAACTCTTTTCGGCTGATTTAATGCCCTGATCATCATTTTGCAATAATAAATAGTTTGCTGTTCATCAGTGCTGCATGATATTGTAAAAAACTGACATCTCAATATTTTCTTTTACTGCAATATATATATATATATATATATAT